AACGCACCTTAATTCCTACGACTGGACTGATTTCTTCTTTAGTTCGGATGTAAATGTTTGCACTGCAAAACTGTGCAAAATTTAGGATCTGCTTATTTCTCGTTTTGTCCCCAGTAAGAAAATAACGAATATCGGAGATGAGGTTTTCCTTCCCCTATCCTTTCGTGTAGGTTGCGCAGACTTTCTCATCGATTCCATCTTCAGAATGACGTTTCCGCTTTGCCCTTGCTTTGTGATATTTTTGAGCGGGCCAACAGACTGTCCGAAGAAAAGGAGATAGTCGAAGAGGTCCAATTCACCGAAAACCGCTCGTTAAATATCTCAAAACATTTCTCTCGAAAAGTCCGAACTCATGGTCAAGGTCAAGTTCAAGCCGCTGGTTTAAAATTTGAAGGTAATTGGATCATATTATTTTAAGTGGTTTTTCTGATAGACTTAACGATTTTAGCTCCTATTTTTGGTTAAATTTCCCCAAATACAGACCTATTCACTCGGAACTACCAGTTGCCATTCCCTTTTTGAGTTTTGCTAGTTTGCGCCTGATGATCTTCAGTCGCATTCTGCAATTCGCATTTTATGAATTTTATTTCCTTCTAACTGTGTAACTTCTTTTACATCGTTAGCGTCTAGCTGAAATTCAGTCACCTAGTCTGTTAGCAGTTTTCTTAATTGCAACTTGCCTCGAGACAAGATGAGGGCAGAATTCACAGGCCCGCGAACGTTCTCGCTCTCTTTACCTAAGCATGGTTTAACTAAATATATGCCAGAAGGTGTTAATAGTCAGTCGTCACTCGTTGTAACTGATAGGCAGCTTAATCTGCTTGCACTTTACAATTACAATGATTTTGTATTAAAATTTGTCCCTCTGCTCTCAGTTCTTGGAAAATCATGCGACAGGAACATCTCCGATATTCCCTCTCAAGAACGCAGGCGTTTTGACCCACTGTCCACCTGATCGCCAGTGAACCTTGTGATAGACAAAAGCGTGCTTACAACTTCGTGTTAAAAAACTATCCTGGATCTGCTCGGCCAGTTGATATTGCGACTAATTTCCCGTATTCCTGTGGTTTCAACCACAAACTAGCCTATGCAAAACGCTTGTCCTCCCGTAGCTAAAATCCGCCCGTCTTAGTTAAGTTGTTTTCACCAGTCGAGGTCGACTCAATATTTGTCCATCGAGATCGTGTCTCTGCTTGCCTAGAAAATGGAAAAGTTTCATTTGTCATGATCTTACTCCAATGGAGCGTAGAATCGGTCCCTCTTCTCACGTAATCCCATTGCTTCTCAGTCTGATGCTCACTAACTCGGTCATAATACAAGTGGCCGAGAGGATTCAGCTGTTTCTGTTCCTGCGAAATCTGATTCCCTCCCTCCCCTTACTCCTACATCTTCCTCTCACTAAGGACACGTGACGCATTCGCCTGTTCCTAAGTTAGCATCGGCAGTCCCAGTTGTCGTCCTCAATCCTCCGGATAACCCCCATAGGCCGCATAAAAATCCTTCTACATCAGCTAGACTGATAACTTCCCCAGTTCAACAGGATGCTGCAAGCTCTACAGTTAAGTCACCTGTAACTTGGCGTCAGAACAGTGAGACTGCAAAACTGAATCAGCCTCCAATCTAAAAGAAAGGTAGTACAATTCCATTTAGGGATACGCCGCCTTCTCTTAGATTTACCAAGTCTGTTCAGCCCAGCACGTCTACAAACTCCGCCGCTCCAATTATATCCCCGAATAATTATTTGTCCTGCGTACCGGTTACTTATCAAAGCCCTGCTTTATATCCAGCAGATAATTCATACATGAGTTGCCCGTAGTAATTTATGTCCGAACCTAGTTCAGGTTTCCCACGATTTAAGGCCAATTGCCCTCAGGTACGTCAGCCTACCTCCTTTGACTTCCAACCTAGACCTGGTTTCCTACCCTTTTATTCTTATAACTACCTACTCTCCCCCACTAGCCTTTACTTTCCTTCTGGGTTCCCTCCTCCTCCCCTTCCTCCACAATTTAACTACCAACAAGCCTATCCATGTTCTAACTCCCCTACCATCCTAATGTTCGAAAACTATATCCCCGCATCCTTTAGGTCTCAAACTCAGCCTTCTCTTGCTGACTCCCCGTACCTCAATAACTCTAGACTAACTGGTACTTATTATCCAAGCATCATTAATTCACATCTCACATATCCGCTTTCAAATTTTTTCTTCTAAATACCGTCGACAATAGCCTTGGTGTTCGAAAAACATTAGGTATTATATTATTGAATGCGAGGTCTGTTAAAAACAATTAGAGCCACTGCTCTCGGAACGACGCCTGATATCATATGTATAACAGAATCTTTGGCCCATTCTCTAATTCCTGATTGAACTCAGCACCCCGACGTATGGAGAGACGATTAACACAACTCAGGTGCTCAACTACCATAAAAACTACCTGATAGCGCATACGCGCAGTTGCTAGAGCACTCTTCCAAAGGATGAAACGCATTGCAATGAACCTGAGGGACGAGTACGAGAACTACGTCATCTTCGAGACCAGCTGGCAAGCAGTAGATACCCGAACAGCTCCATTAGCCGTTGCTCCGTACGAGCCTACGGTGAATAAACAGAGAAGAGTCACAAACATTCTGGCACCATCTACCGTGTATAAAGAACGTGTCATAGACCAAAAAACGTATCGTTGCAGAGCTCGGCCTGGGTATCGCCCATTGTCCGACAGGTACCATGCGCGCCAAAATCGTGCAAATGAAGGACCGACTAGGTGCAGAAGAGCAGTCTGGCGTCGTTTACAAAATCCCAAGCCATGGCTGTTCTCGCCATTATACAGGACAGATTGGATGACCACTTAGCTCACAAACGGGCAGTCCGGGGAGGCGACTCATTGTTTCAGGTAGCCATTCACACCTTGGAGGAATTCTACGAATGCAAATTCTCGGGCACATGGATAATGGCGCGAGCCAGCAATAAGACAGGGTGAAAACTGCTTGAGGCCTAGGTGTCTGGCAGTAACTCCACCAATAGACAAGCTGATTTACTCCCCTGCGATCCCGTGCTTCGTTCTTGCGGTCAAGCGGAGCGACCCAATTCCCAGCTAAGGGCGCACTCCGTCACGACGCTAAGAGGTGCGTGGACGCAGAACTATCCTGAACACTAACCTCTCAGCCTATACCACCCAACGATTTTCTCTAAAAACTGTTTATCTGACGTTACATTCCCACAGATGCTGAATATGGCCTCCTGTACGAGGCCGGAGACCCACTCTAACAAACGTATTGTCCTAGGGATCGCGCGTTCGTCTTTGTAACATGAATCTGGAACTCTCATGTTCACTTCTATATTCATTAATGTGGAGATAGGCAAGAAGAAGAAAGACTAGATCGGCGAATAAAGACCGGTTAAAAGAAATGAAAGAACGTAAAATCATTGACCTGTCTGTCTGCCTGTTGCCAGTGTTTTTCTTAGCGACATATGCTGCGAGGTTGGGTTCCGGTTTAGTTTTTTAAGACTTTTGGTATTGTTTAAAATCTTAGTTTGCTCCAACAATCCTTCCAGTATGCCTAGTTCGATATCACCTTGAAATTAAATGAAATCATATTCAGCAATTCTCCGCAAGCTTTTATGGTTCCGTTAGTGGTCTTTATTTCCTGTTAGTCTTGAGAGTCTCCAAAAGCATTTTTGTTTTCAAAAGAGGCAGATTGCTACGAATTCGTACGCCTCAAACGGTTATTTATCGTCTGCCTTTTGATACTTAAGGCGTGGTTAGCGGACTGTCATAGTAACATCATCTGTAAATCGCTGAATAACTACCGCGAGAAGATGCAAAGTAATTTCTTCTGTTATTTTTTCTTTTGTTCAATTCGTGCTGAAACACGAGAACCAAACGGGCGCGCTTTGACACTCATTCTATAGCCAGAAGTGAATGAAGAAAAAGCCAATTTTCTAATCTTAGGAAGGTGGTCACACTATTTGATATGTGCAGTTGTTTTAATAGATAAGTTCTATCAACGTTTGCACTTTAGAAAGAGGCGACCAAATAGCGGTCTACTCGTCGTTGGAGTCGCAGTGCCCATTGCATCTGACGTCAGTGACAAGCACACCCATCTTTGCTGTTCTTCAGTTTGTTTTTGATTTAAAGATTTTTTAAAATATTTGCTTTTAGTAATTAACATTTAAGGGAGCGACCTTTAAGAATTATCTCTGAATAGTGCCTGAATGTACTTAGTTGCTGCGTGTTTTTCCTTGAAATAAATATATGGATGATACTACAACCATTCCCCAGTGGTAGAAAGTTAATGGGTGTGTCGCCATTAACGTGAACTTTACATGACTCTCAGTCTTCGTTAGTTGTAGGCATAATATTATACCTATCCCGACAAGCCTTTGCAGCGTCATTGCGGGTTTTGACGCCACCGAACCTCTCGAGAACAATAACGAGGGAGTCATTATTTGGCGCCCACACAGCATATTATGTGGTTAGTGTGATGGTATTATGTTGGTTAAAAGAAGACCTGTTAATATCGCATGCAAGTGAGATCTCTACTAGTTAATCCTATTTGACGTGAAATGATCTTTCGTTTATTTTGGCGATAATACGTTGTAGGCTTTTGCTCGGTTCAGGAGGCAGCACAGGACTATTTATACATGCGACATTCAACATGCCATTCCAACCACGATGAGGCTTTGCCTGAGCTTTTATTAAATATCCGTACGGAGCACCATTTAACGCAGATCGACATAGTCTACTTTTTGTTCTATAATACATGATTAAATCAGACCGATTTAGTTTTGCTCACACAGTGGACAATAAGATGATGGGAAGTACAATGAGTTGATCTTACTTGCTGTTGTCGTCTCCTGTTTGCAGACCTACCTATTCTCCTAAATCATGTTCAAAGAACTCATTCGGCAACACGCTGAAAAGGCGTTGGCCAATGAACTTGAGGTCCTTACTGAAACTATCCCAGAGGAATGGCGCCAACAGAAGGAAAAGTTTCGCGTTCAGATGAAATCATTCCAAGCACTTTTTAAGCGCTTCATTGAAGCGTCAGAAGACATTGAGTGGGACAAAATTAAACTTTTGCCCGATGATGAGGTAATTGTTGATTTTCCCCTACTACTTCGCAACAAATTCTATTTGATTGCAATATCTTCGAGCCAAATCTTGACAGATGTCTATGATAGTTTCATCTACGCGCAGAGTTTAATTTATCAATGAAGGTTCTACCTGAAAAATGTTTATTGCGTTTCAAGCTACATTTAGTTTTACCTTACACTGTCTTTTCGTTCCTTTGATCAATAAAGATCAAAGCTTATTCGCAATTACCCGAGATAAGGGACCCAGACCTGATCCGCGAACAATTGAACAAACTAGTCGTAATCAAACTTAATGGTGGCCTCGGAACGAGTATGGGCTGCACCGGGCCAAAGTCCCTCATCTCCGTTCGCAACGACTTGACATTCCTTGATCTAACTGTGCAACAAATTGAGGTAATTACAGATATTTTACTTTTTTCTGCTTTATCGACAACCATCTTCACTTCCCTGTCATTCATCTGTCCTGTTACCTATGAAGGGCATCTTATCTAAAACCAGAACCCGACGTTCTTCATGTCGTACGCGTAAAAAATATGCCTCTCCAAAAAGTGGAAAAACACAGGCATTTTTGATAGTTTATAATCAAGTTTTGTTGACGAATCTTGTATAGAACATCAAGTATAACATTTCTCTCGCATGCTAAATTGTTCCTCTACGTCTTTCAACAGAAGCTAAGTCGAGGTTTACCAAGAACTACCTAGAGAGATGAGACAAAGCGGGAGAAGGGTTGAGTTCGGCTTTGGATGAAGTCCGTCGGTTAACACTTAGACTGTTTCATGCTGCAAATTGGCTAAGGTGCCATTTTTTGACTGCAGTTTCGACATAAAAGTAAACCTATTCTGAGTAATTAGAAACGTTTTTGGCCCTTAATTCTGTTAGGATGGTAATATTTGCTGGTACTTCGATTTTTCTCTTTAAGTAAGATTGAATAGATTAAAAATAAATTTCGACGTTGTCACTGGCTTTCATTTCGTTCGTAAATTTTAGCTTCGTCAAGGCCACAGCGTCAATTGTATTTTTATGCTAATTTTTGAGACGTAATGAGTAACTCGATGAAAACGACTAAAACAAAAAAAGCAGTGGACTTATTGAGCCAGACAGACTGCTTAATACAGAACAATGCCCTTTAGTCGACGAGTCTGTCATTCTTATCTTTTCATATGCTGTCTCTTATATTAGAATTTTTATGCATTTTGGGGTTTTCCCTATAACGAGTGTTTTCGCTTATTTATGGAAGGATGAAGTAGAAGTCTGCTACAGTTGCAGGCACTGATCACGCTTCTTTGAGATTTCGATAGATATTGAACCTTTGGCAACACACGTGACAGTTACTAAGGATAAGACGTACATTAGCTTTCATTGGGGACAGAGGAAGCCAGCTATCTTCATTGCTTCGTTGGTTTGAGAAACCCGTCGGTTGCTTTCTTATTTGTTGCATTCTCTCTCATGCTACTTTCTTTCTGAAGAAACTGAACACAAAATACGGGTGCAATATTCCATTGGTCCTAATGAATTCATTCAATACCCAAGAGGAGACCGCAAAAGTGCTTCACAAATACAAAAATGTCAACGTTGAGGTTCACACATTCATGCAAAGCATGTAAGTTTGAGACTTATTTTTTCCATCCTCCACTTTGTTTCTTGCTTTTAAACATTTTTTGATCATCCTGGATTTACGATCAAGTTCGTGTAGGTCAAAATATTTTACACTTGATCTCGTACTTGTAGAATGCATGCGGATGTTGTCGGGATTTTGATGTACTCCTCAGTAATATAATCACAATCTTAACCGTCAGGGGGAACAGCACGTATCTCTTTATTTAGTCAAACTGTTGACCGCTCCATTTTTTGTTGGTAGAATAGCGGATTTATGAAAAGCAAAACGGCCGATGAAAAGACTGACCGTTATAATTACCACGATGAGCGAATTTGGATAGGCTTTAATGTCAAAATAGAAATTTTGCAATATCTGCCTTAACGGGTTAGAGCCTGTTTTAATAGTTATACTTCCTCACAACTCTTGTCCATCATCAACGATGGCAACCCTGTAACCTCTTCTGGCCTCAGGTTGCTTTTTGAGACTTTCTACTAATAATTCGGCCCAACCGGGAGTTTGACGATCCTCCGTAGGCTTCCAGAAAACGCTGATGCATTTCCAGTGACTAGCCATTGTACTTAATCTTTCTGCAATAAATCTCAATTAAAGTAGATCCATCACAGGAGGTCCAGTAATAATTAGAATTACAAACAATGCAACACTATGCAAACGAATTTTTATACGCCGAATTGCAAGGCGGATACCGTTTTCTAAAGTCGACACTGCACATTTCTCTTCTACACTGAAATTAGATATACTGAATGATGCATCACAGCCAAATTACAGACAGACAGTACGGTTAGAATCATGGTTTCTCGTTACCGGATGTTTTAGAAAGGGTAAGACTTCCACCAAATAAAATAGAAAATGCAGTGGAACGGTATATCCTTTTGATATATTCGCCAACAATTTTCGTTCTTTCTAGGTATCCGCGCCTGAACCGCGAGTCATTTATGCCCATTGTGAAAAGCGTAGACCCGGCCCTCCTCGGTGGCTCCCCATCCTCTCCCGAGTGCTTCGATCATCCCGCCGTCGACCTCTCCGGATGGTATCCTCCCGGTCACGGCGATGTCTACCGCAGCTTCGTACAATCTGGTCTGGCTGCAGATATGTTGGCGGCTGGCAAAGAGTGGCTATTTATCTCCAATATAGATAATTTGGGCGCTTCGGTCGACCTTAGTGAGTTTGTTTCCACTGCTGCCTTCCTTGCTACTGGCCTCCTTTTTATCAATAAACGATATCCGGCGAACTAAACCATCCATTAATTAGAAATACGTCTCCAACAGTGTCGTATGAATCTACTGTCCTTGGTTCAAACTATGAGTCTGAAGTCAGTCAAATTGCCTAAGGTTTACTGAACCAAAAATTCAGTAAATTAGTCAATCACACCAGGTCACAGCGTTGTGCGGAGACTTGTGCTTGCCTTTGATCGTACCATGTTCTCTCACCGAAAAGGTGGGAATCTGCTGTCATATTTTTCGACGTCCTGGGATAATGATAAACTACAATGATAGAGGTTTCAATAGTCAGAATGAAACCTCGCTATAAAGACCAGTCGGAAGAAGACAGACTTTGTTGCTCGTCCTTGACGTCTGCACTTAACGAGACAATTGTAAGGACTGTTTCTTCTCAGACGACTCTAATTAATCCTGCAAGGTTTCCTTGAGTCCTCACATCAAATTATGGTAGTATTACGTGAACTATTGGAAGAATTTGACAGCTCCCGTGTTACAATGTCACAAACGTACGTGACAAGCGTAAATTACCAAAGTATTCCGTCAAGACTACGATAACATCCTTGTTCTTAGTGAATCTGCTCCTGATGCGGCAATTAAGCATATTTGCGGACGTTCATGAGTGGTTTGAGGATATTCACAGCTTTTGTTGTCAACTTGTTAACACCGTGCATTTCAGAAGTAGACAAGCCTACCTTTTTCCCCCAAGAGATACTTTAACAAACTGGGAAGTGAGGTCGTACCTAATGACCGCTGTTTGGCCATCTTTGTGTCGGTTCCCAAGAGCGGAGGCAAATGCAGTTGGCAGAAACATCGCAGTACGCGGTCCCTCGAAAGTATCTTTGTTATTGTAAAGAAGATGAAGACCCGATCTCTGGGACAGTGGGCTTATTAGTCTGAGCTTTCGGTCTCGTACAGGAGGCCATCGTCAGAGACTGTGAGAAGGCAACATCAAATGAGCGGTTTTTGTAGTCACGCCATGAAGGGGGGGGGAGAGATATGAGTGCAGAGGGTGGTATTCGCGATAAGTTGCGTCCCACGCCGTCTCACGGTGGCGTGACTGCGTGCACCCTTGGCCGGAAATTGGGTCTCGCCCCTTGGCCGCGGGAACGGAGCGCGTGATAGCAGGGGGGTATGTCAACGTGCCTGTTGATAGAGTTGGTGTCAGACACCCAGGCCTCTAACAGTTCTCGTCCTGTCTTATTGCTGGCCCGCGCCACTATCCGCATGCTCGCAAAGTTGAATTCGTGGCCTTCCTCCAGGGTGTGAGTGGCGACCTGAGACAACGGGTCGCCTCTCCGGACCGCCCGTTTGTGCTCCGTTATTCGTGAGCTAAGTCGTCGTCCGGTTTGTCCTGTGTAGTGGCGAGGGCAGTCCCGACATGGGATCTGATAGACGACGCCCGATTGTTCACCCATGTCTAGGCGATCCTTCACTTGCATGATTTTGCTGCGTATGGTCGCTGTCGGGCGGTGAGCGGGTCTTCATCTTCTTTACAACAAGAACCTGGGATTCGCATATTCGCTTCCATCTTTGTTATTCTCTCCAGACGACTTTGATTTCGAGCGACGCAACTGCGGTACCAAAACTATTCGAACTCCTAACGGGAGATGGGTGCGTTACCGGAATATGTAAACGTCTGAGCGTCCTCAAGTTCTGCTACAGACATCAGGAGTCAGCTGCCTACAGATATTTCAAATTCCTCGCCTTTTTGATTTTGCTCATCGCGAGTTCTTTTGGCGACTAAGGAATCAAGATGGCATATCAACCAAGATTGTTGTCGTGCCCAAGTCCCACTAGCGTTTCGGTTTTTCCCTTTCGTGCTTATAGTAAACTTCCAAACAATCGAAATTTAGTCACATTTAGGGCTAGACTCGTCCCGTTCAACTGTGTAGTAAATTGGATACAAAGAAGTTATATCAGCTAACTTCTGCTCAACCAGTAAACCATAACTTCTAAGGTCCGTTCATCTGCTCGTGTACGTGTTTACCTCTAATCCACTTTGCACCTTCCACTCGTGCGACTAGCCTTACCCAGTTTGCGCATACAACCGCTACAAGGTGACCTACTGACCTAATAACCGGCGGGACTAAAACGTAATGACTGGCATGCAGATACTTTTTTGCGTACCATGATCCGCCAGAACTCTACCCTTACTTTGGGATACTCCTTGCTATGTTATTTGATGTGTTGTTTTGAACTATAAATATCACTAACACACGGTAATGACGCCGGGCATGTTCCATGTGTAAACCGTGAACAGCATTGCCTCAGGGATATTCCGCATGTCGCTGAGCTACGGCAAGGAAATAAATTCGAACCGACTAGAAATTGAATTAGCCACAGGTGCATTCCCATATGCTGTTGACTGTGACGCCTAGGGTTAAATGGACTCCGACTGAAACACAAGCCATACATGCCTAACACCACTGTATTTAATGTCGTCGTCATTATGAAATTCGTTTACTAGGAAGTAATTTCCTACCGAGCATTACAAGCAGAGATGAAATTGGTGCCCGGATCTTCTAGGTCAGCCAAACCTCAGCAGTCCACAGTTACCAGAGTCGAGCTGTCGCCGAATTCGTCTCGTTGTTTGGATGGCTCAGAAATATGGGCTGCCTGCCAACCCGAGACGAGGAACTTCAATCCTTGTGGGAGTACGAAGAGAAAGTGGCAGGGACTTATCCTAGCGTAGATCTATGTATATGATTCCCTGAATGGTTAAAACGGCAACCCAAAGCGACCGCTTAGTCTCCCAAATGAATCGTGTAAAAGATACTCCTGACGTTTTCTACTATCTCAACGACCATTAATGTCCCACTATACTTCGCGCCCTTTCCGTCCGTTTTCTCTAACGTTTGTGAGCAATGGGGTGTATGTTGATAGACCGCCACGAAACGGGCTACGCTGTTGATGCACTGGACCGAAACGGGGGTGACAATGGCTCATGATCAGCCTTTACTGACCTCTGTTGGGTCTGCAGGAGTCCTCGGCTGCTCCCGTGGAGATACATGGAATACTTTAGGCGGAGGAATTTACTCAACGTCTCAAAAGTGTAGTGGTGCAGTACCATCCCACAGGAAACGGGCTACGGCCCGAGAACTGGCTCCTCTCCATCTTTTAACATACGTTACTTCTTGGATCTTTGGTACCCCGTCTTCACAGTCGGTCATATGTGCGATCCGATCGCTAGATCCCCCGCTATAGATGCCCGTGCGGGAGCTAATAGAAGCCTATTATATCAGACCTGTCAGCAAAAGTACGTATCCAAGAGTCATCTTGCGCACTGTTTACAGTTTTCAACTTTTCGGGAGCTGCCCATTTTGGACAATTAGGACCGAAGTTTCGTACTATGTTTGTAATCAAAAAGCATCTAATGCATCTGTAGCTTTCTCCGTCTGTTAATCGTTGGCTGCGGAGTAATTAAGAACCCGTTATTTTGAGATTCGCCTCTTGAATTCGGTGGAACATGAAAGAAGACGCTGGATTGCTGGACAGTAACATGAGGGGACGGTCTAAAAGTGTTAGTCCATAAGTAGGGTTGAACAGACTGTGCTGGCTGTGGTTTCCCCCATAGCCGAGCTTGAAGACTGTAACACTATAAATTACCCCAAAGAGCTGATCCTGGGCGTCCATCTCCGGCATACTTCTCTTACTTTCTGCCTTAATGCATTCTACGACGGGTACTTTCTACTTCAAGTTTTTGGGTTTGCTAAGATCTCATAAATAGTTGGTCATACAGGGCCACTTTTTAATCACGAATATCACGTTTTTAGGGGTCATTTAAGGCTTACCCTTGATAAACAGAGGTCAGCGATTTCAACTCGCCAATTCTGTGTTTGGGTTTTATTTTTGATGAAACTTTCTAGCGACTATTTAGAAGCCTGCTTTGCATTTTCAGCCCTAGTGACTCGCGTGGCAAATATTTTAGCATCCACTCCGCCACAGGCGTTTTGACTAGTGCAAGCTTGCACCCACAATTAGTCGCGTTAGATATTTGTCTGTTAAGCAATAGCTACTCAAAAGGAAATCTCCTGAGACCCGTCAGCTGGTAGAAAATTGACGTACTTTGTATACGTTACTGCGCTCCCACTGATTCCTGTTCGGTCGTAAAACAGTGATGAACTGATTATCCTGCCTGAGTTTTTATTTCTTTCGACTGTCTTTAATTTACCGAGGTCGCCCCTTCCTCAACAATCCTCTACTTCTTGCCTTCTTTTCTAACAGACATCCTAAACTTCCTCCTGACTAGTAACAAGGGAACATCTCCACCCGGCTTTGTCATGGAGGTGACTGACAAGACCCGAAACGACGTGAAGGGTGGTACACTAGTCGCCTACGAAGGAAGGCTACGACTGCTGGAAATTGCCCAGGTTATTACCCTTTCCTGTTACATTATATTCTGATCCAGTAGAAGGCTTACCCCCTGAGATGCTGACAGAAATTGTAACTTTGCTGTTAACTCTGACTGGGCGATAGAAATACCGAAAAATTTTGAAAAAAATCGCATGCTGAATTTCATATCAAACTCTTAATAGTCAACCAGAAAAAATACTTATGTAAGCAATGTGCATGTCGCGCGCATAATGGCAGATAATCCTTTCCCGACAGTGGATTGTCGCTCAACTGCGAGTATCTGCAAGGCCACCTGCATTATCGGTGGGAGGGGGAGGGCGGGTCCCTATTCACGTGTTTTTCCAAACGAGATGAGAATGGTCGCTTCTGGCTTATTCGCCATCATCCGCCACCTATGCCTCAACCTCGGGCACGGAAGGCCTGAGATTTAATCCCAATTTACTGGGATAGATTTTCAACTTACTGAATCACGACCTCACGAGTTATTTGTACCCTCAGCAACGTCTCAAATCGCGCGGTATTCGCAGCTTCAAGTACAGTCTCTGCGCTTGTTTACTGGCCTAAACCTGATGAAGGAGAAAACAGTCTAAACTCGGGTGTGCCATGTAGTACATGGGTAGTGTCGTTCGTCATGACATTAGGGGGGGGAGAGGGGTGGAAAGGAGAGAGTGCGGTAGATGTTACGTAAGTCCATCATCACTATGAGCTAATTCACGCGCAGTCACTATCCCAGCTATCTCGGTCAGCATCGCCGGTCACGATGGTCGAACTGTCGTGCATTGTTGTTCAAAATGAATTAATCGCTGTGGACGGTTAGAGCTTTGATTCGAGGATTACCCCCGACCCAAGATTGTTTGATTGCTGTAAGGATAAGGACTAAAACTTAGCAAGCATGAAGAAACGGCACAATCCACGTAAAGATGTCACGTTCCTCAAAAGATTGAGACAAGCAACGGTGGTAAGGAATGCAAATCCGGGACGATCCCCAATTCGGGAGTCAGGAAATGCACCCGGTGTCCACTAAGGGCATAAATATGAGAATTCATGAAGTTTGGTCCTCTGGTAAGGCCAAAATTTGGATAAGTATATCCTCCTAGACAGCAAGTACATCTTAACCAAAATGATGATCACAGCCTCCTGCCGTAAAGTCTCGCCATCACAGATGCTTGTTTAGTTCTGTTCAGAACTCAAGACCTTCACAGTAGCTCTATGCTTGCGCTGCTGGGAGTTTGCATAGTTATATTTGCATCTATAAAGTGAAAGTCCTGACCCACCTCAAGGTCGCTTTTTGTCACAGCCAGTTCAGATGTACATGGCTGTGATCTTAGTCTCCGTCCAGTTTTGCATACGCAGTTACAGAATAAAACGGACATCGTATCTGACAAGCAAGATCAGATTCCTCGTCATGGTTTCACCGATCCTCTACCCTCGATAAGTCAGCTGCTTATGACAGTTGTTGGTCGCTGAGCAACATCGGAGGAATACTGAATGGGTTATGTGCGCCGTTTTTTTACATCTTCACGCGCAAGTCATCACGCCTGCTTCACCTTGTTGTGGAGCCCCACGGTGGACATCGTCGGCTGCGACGGTCGAACTGTCACATATCTTTGAAGATATCTTTCGTAAAAGTATTTGAGATAGTGTTTCGGTCAAATAACGCCTTATCGCATTCTGCAGACTTTCATACATAAAGTAAATTAACGAAAGTGCAAAATTTACATGAACTTTGACGGCAGTATGGCCGTGTCTCAGTTTACGTAGCCGCCCGTTGTTAATAACATGGACTTCGCGGTCACATTAGGACGGGTGCAGAAGTAATCGCGTTATCACAAATAACATGTTTACTCTGACTTCGGCGTGCCGTTAGTAATTGAGCTCTCCAGATTTTTGATTTATCGCTGGGTGCTATTTTTGTATACTAGTCGCGTAGAGGGGATGGTGCCATGGCTGGAAGTCCTTCTGGACACACCCTGTTTGTCATCGAGTCTCACTGCTTCAGTTTGAAATAAGAGGCACAAGTTCGGCTCACTTGCCCCCACCCAGCTTGGCTGTGTTGGTAATCAGAATGACAAATATTTACGTTGCGGTGATGATGATGGTCAGACCGCATCTGCCGAAATTGGCAAAATTTTCCGAGAAGCCCTAGATCACGGTCAGTCGGTGCTGGAGTTTACTACTTCATGATGACACACCCTGGTCTTCGCTTGCCGTGCAGGTTCCAAAAGAGCACGTGGACGAATTTACCAGCGTGCGCAAATTCCGCATCTTCAACACCAACAACCTCTGGGCTAATCTAAAGGAGGTAGAGGAATTAGTGAAGACGAACCAGCTAGCCATGGAGGTCATCTACAACCCAAAGACTCTGGACTCCGGTTTGAACATTATTCAATTGGAGGAGGCTGCTGGCGCTGCCATCCGAAACTTCCAAGGAGCCATAGGTAGGTAATGCGAACTCTCCTTGTTGCTACTAGCTGAGCTCGACCCCCTTTCTCGTGCTCTCCTTCTCCTGTCTAATTTCCCGCTCTACTTGCCGATGGGAGCGAATTAGCAATTTTTTCGCTAGGTAGTATGTGTCAGTAGGAGCTTTATCGTGTGTCATCGTGTGTGCCACGGGGCGCTACGTCTATCCAAATAATTAGGACATTGAGCAAACAACTTTATGCTGGTCCTAATTTAGTTTCTCTTCGATAGGATATGCTAGCTCTTTGGATCAATATCTTATAAATGTTTAGTATATGAAATTTTACGGTTATGTGGAAAAATTAAAACTCCATTATAAGCAGGCGAAGGCGTACGCTGTTAGCTGAAATCATGATTAGCAGTCACAGTAGCTAGTGGCCAGATAATATATTTCACAGTTTGGGTCATTTTTTATGCTGTTGACTTGCTTTTCACTAGAGTTAAAACATCCAGTTAGAAGGGTATCTACGCAGAATTATGTTTGGTTTGTCGCAACTTCTATAAGTTATATATTTATCTGCTCTGCAAACTTTCCCGCTTTAAATGGTAGGCAGCAGGGTTGTCTCACGGAGGTGTCGACCGGCTGTCTGCCATTACTGACAAAAGGGGATTTATGTGCAGAATATTTTGTTTCCTAGGTATTAACGTCCCCAGAAGTCGTTTTCTCCCAGTCAAAACAACGTCTGACTTGCTGGTAATGATGTCCAACCTCTACGCCCTCGAGGACGGTCACATCTTCATGTCTCCAAAGCGCAGTTTTCCCTCTGTTCCGCTCGTAAAACTGGGAGAAGAATTCAAGAAGGTGAAGGACTTCCTTGGACGCTTCTCCAACATACCCGATCTCCTCGAACTGGACCATTTGACGATTGCGGGCAACGTCTACGTTGGTCGGGACGTCTCTCTTAAGGTATGTTTTTTTGGGTTGAGCCTACACATGTGCCGAAAAAAAGCAGCATTAAAGCGTTTCAGTCGGTGGTGGGGATGGTAGAGGTAGTTGTATTCGTCGTCGCGGTGCTTGTGGCAGAGCTGATGGAAGTGGCGGGGATCGGCGGCGGTAGAGCACGGGGATTCGGAGTGGCGGTGGTGAGGGTAGGGGCCGTTGTGGTCGGCACGGGAGTTAGAGCAGTGGCGGTCGTGGCGGCAGCAATTGCGGTTGTCGGGCGATTGGTGCATTGGGTCCGTTGATGACCGACGATGCTGATCCGCGCCTGTAATATTTGTTGACGGTACGGGCTTGCTGTGAGCTTCTCCCTTGGCTTAAGCGACGGCAGCGATCCGGTTTGCTTTGTAGATTACTGAGCCAGTTCTTACTGCTTTTCTCCAGACCGGTCTGTTCTGGGCGACGATCTCCCAGGTCTTCGAATTAATCGCCAGTCTCTCCAGAGTGTTCTTGCAGTGTCACTTTCCTACCGACCGGCGAGCACCCGTAACGACATCTTCGCAAAAGATTCATTTGCATCCATCCTCACTAGGTGGCCGCTCCATCGCAGTTGCAGTTGCCTCAGCATGGCGTGGATGCTGAGACTTCCTGTCCGTCCCAGAACTTCCGTGTTTGGGATCCTGTCCTAGTGGCATCGGAGATTGTAGAGGGCGGCTTAGAACGCTTCTGAAGTGCTCGGCCCAGCGCTTCAGAACCGGTGGTTTCTCCGTCAGAAGCGCAGTTCCATCAGAGCTTAGAAGTGGTATGGTTCCCTTAGTTGGGGTACCTTAGATTACTTTGAGTGATGCGAAGACGTTCTTGAGTTCATTGCGGTCGACATATCTCCGAATTTCCTCGACCGTGCGAGCCATCCAGGCGTCCTTAACCCTCCCCTGTCGCTGCTACACGGGGCGACGATGGCGGAAGAAGGCCGCCTTGTTTAGGGCGGTCCGATGTTTCATGTAGGCCTTGTGTAGCCTGTGCTTTTGAGCGTGCAGTTGGCTGATGTCTCTGTCTTTGTCATCAAACCAGTTCTGATGTTGACGACGTGCGTCACCAAGGATGTCCAAAGCAGTCGAACGAATGGCAGTCTGCGGTGGACGCCATCGGGTTTCCACCAGGATTTTTCGTCGGCGACCGCCAGTGCCTCTAGGCGCTGGGCTAAATGACCGCTGAAATGCAAACTGTGAGAAAGCAAATTCAACAGAACAGTATTTAACTTGCCTGGTGGTCGCTTACTTTGTGGCCTCCTGCTGAGTTGCACTCGGAACCTCATCTTAGAGGTTACGATACGGTGATCGATCCAGCCATCGGCGTCTCAGATCGCCTTGGAAACCAACACGTCCTGTCGATCTTGCCTCGGGGCGAGAACGTACTCCATCAGCTGCCAGCGCCGCGAGCGGGAGTGCATCTAGGTCGCCTTCTTCCGCGTGGGCAGGAGGGGGCTGTGTTCTGCGCAGGTTCTCAGGAGAATGAGACCATTGTCATTGCAACCGCCGACTCCGTGGGGACCTAGCACTCCCCTACAGGCAACACAGTCTGTTCCAACGCGGGTATTGAAGTCATCAAGGTCAACCAGTTTGTCCGTCTTTGGTACAGTTGCTAGGAGGACGTGCAGGTTTTCGCAAAACTTGGTCTTCTCTTCGTCTTAACTAGTCATTGTGGGGGCGTAGACAGTGGCAATAGTGGCGAATTTAGATCCCCGAAGAGGCAGACTCAGGGTCATCAGCCAGTTGTTGATACCCTGTGGCAGACAGCGCAGTCGTCTCACGATATCGTTCCGGATGTCAAAGACGACACCAGCGTCGTGTTGCTCTGCCTTTGGGCGTCCGCTCCAGAAGGTATAGCAGGTACCCATCTCCTCCAGTTATTCTTTTTCGGAGAAGCGGGTCTTACTGAGAGCAGCGATGTTCACCTTGTTGTGCGCCGGTCCTCGAGCGACCAGCGCCATCTTCCGATGCGATCGACTGCTCCTCAGAGTGTCTAGAGGAAAACGAACATTCCAGGCTGTTAGAATAAGTGGAATCACTTGAGCAGGCCGTAGGATAGGGAAGGGGAGATGGGGACAGGTGTCGGTGTCGTTGCTTTGAGTGTTTCGGCCGTATGTTTTGCGTTTGCGAACCACGGTCAGCATGTAAGTGCGTGGTCCCAGCACTTGTTCAGGGTATGTTTTCTAGCCCCTTCCCCGCGAGGAGGTAAGCAGTGCTTTCCCTAAATAGGGCTACTTGGGCGTCCCAGACGGCTACCGACCCGAATTGACCTGAGCCGCCCACGGGATTGTAGGTCTTAATGTATGTTTCAATGCATTGACATATAGAAACCGAAATTAAGCATGACAATTAGAAGATAAACATTAGGTGTCTACAAAGACCGCTTCTCAACTCTCTGATCTGAGGTCATTGTATATAATGCACCAGACTGTCTACAACAGAAGACCCAACCTTGTACGATGAAACGCCGGAGCGAAATAATTTTGTCGGACTAAAACCAACTTAAATAAGTATAGTAGATATTCTTTGTATGCTGCAAATGCTTGGGAGGCTTCACCCCATTCTTACCGTTCTACGATCATCCCCCGAAGTTGTTTCATATATAGAGGCAGACAGTAGCTTCAACCACCATGCATTTGTGCCAGGCTCTTGGTGCGTAGGAGGACGCTGTTACTAATTCCGCATGCGTTGGCCGTTAAGGGTGCGCGGACTGGCGTCCTGTGTTGGCACGCGCTGCCGCCGCAGTCAGCATTGTCCGCGAAGGTCCTACGTGACTCTGTCACTGCTGCTGCTGCTGCCGTTCTTTTCGTGACTGGCCTGGCTGCACTGCTCGTTGCGTGCTTAAGTGTGCGCATGCATTTGGGTGCACACATGTTGCGGGCGTCGCTGCCGGTGCGATCATTATTATAAGATACTTACGCCACGGCCACGAGCTCTGAGTGTAAAAATCTGCCGCCTCAGACTCGGAAGCAAGAAAAGTAGAAACTGCGAGTCGGCATTCTTCTTCTTCTTTATCAGTAATCAGGACAGATGAATTGCATAAAAGACAACTAGCGATACCTCAGCACAATGATGTCAATTAGTCCTCTGCAAGCGATTTCCCGTGAGCTTTTAGTGTCGCTCTTATTGTCATAATATCCGCTGATTAGTAGTTTCAAGTTCTGCAAACGACAGTCAAGCGAAATGAAGCTCCGAATTCTTCTACCTTTTCCCAAATGCCGAATTCTAAAGTCGAGGGTTTTGGTATAACTTAGTTTTTTACAAATTATTTCAGGTCTGTTTAATTTGTCTAACTTGAATGTTTTATTTTGACCCAATTGTGAAAAACTCGGCGCCTAGGTGGGATTCGAACTCATGCAGTAAGGAGAGGGCTTTAGTACAGCCAACGCTCTAGTCACCTGAGCTACGAGTCTCCACCGGAAGCCGTTAGTTTAGTCACTTTTGGGTTAAGTTACCCCACCAGTCTACCGCAACGTATGCAATGTACCAAATCTGATACGGTTAGCTTACTGCCCAAACAGGATTTCCTAAGCAATACATCTATAATCCACCAGATGACCACCAGGCTCACGTAAGTAATAGGTGTCTGCATAAATTATTCAAAATCTGCCAAAACACCTATTACGTACAGTTGAATTTGTTCTAGTGTCTGAGACGAGGTAGACAAGAATGGCCGTTTCCAACCTATTTACCATCTTCAAACAGTTCAAGCTTGGACTCCAGGCCGAGAAGGCCAGGGATATGAACCCATCATACACTGAAGTTTATTGTCGTAGCCGTTAACCTGCGGACCGGGGTTACGGCTGAAATCACTAGCGTCAGTATTAGTACTGCTTAGTTGTCTGATCCGCTTACAGACAGAAACAATTTCTGCGACTACCTTATGATCTAGACTAAGACCCTCTTAGGCAGTAGGGCAACGACAACTCACTAGAGGTCTGCCTCCAAACAGAAGGGCCAAGATAGACCTATCAGTTCTGGTTTGTTTGCTCTCTTCAGACAGAATTACTTCGCATATGCACATGCCTACTGCAATTATGGCTGCGAAAAAAACCTGACAATATCTTGTTTTTTTTATGATTTCAGGGGACCGTCATCATAATTGCTAACCACGGTGACAAGATATGCGTTCCCCCGGGATCAATGCTCGAAAACAAAATCGTTTCAGGCAACTTACACATACTCGATCACTAGATGGAGATTTTGGAGGTAGAGTTGCGATGAAACGGGGAGAAAGGTAGGGCCCAGTAGTCCTCTTCCGCCAGACTAAGTGGTCTGCTGTAGATGATATTTACATTTTCTCCCCTGCTTCCCCTCTTTAATCTGTAATGGTGCTGATTTGTACAGTACCTTCTGCTATCTCTTCGGACCTAATCAAGAATCCACTTGAATCATGGAAGGCAATCATTAGTGGACCCAGTCGAGAGTTGTACTCATGCTGATTTTTTACTCCTCAACCAAGTTCCTCTTTGCATGGAAGTCATTTCCATTCTTTAGCTTCCGCCGAGCTTTGTTCTTCTATTGTACTTCACTGACCTTCTCCGTCTCCTACCTCATTTGATCTAACTGGCACTTAGAAGTGCCACTCCCACCCCTAGCCCACCTTTGCCCAGATAACATGCAATCATGGTACTTGAGCATTTCCCCGAAATTACGAATACACACTTACTTTGATATCTTAGTTCTCAAAGCACCCGCACAAACTGTAGCTGTCTGATTGAAAGACCAACGGGCGACATAGCGCCGTGGAAAGTCACGGGTGAGTGGCGTTCGTTAAACTGGCTTAACTGCAGTATGGGATACGTGCATTGCATGTTGCCCCGAAGTTCATTTCACCTCACTTTTATTGACGGAAAGGTGGGCTAACGCCTTTGAACTCCCTAATGGTTACAATAAGGCCGCAAAAGAAAAGCACCAATACATATAGAACGTTGGAAAGAAGACTGGCTGTAGAATTGCATACAGCGAGCATGTAACTCTGGCAACTACTAGGTATGTGTCGATGTATGCGTGGTGCGGCGAAAATGTGAACGTATCAGAACACGCCAATGAAGTGCTTTAAGTAGTATGGGAGCATACACTTAAACGTCAGCGGGAATGCACTGAGCCGGATGTTGGCACCGGACAAGACATTTAACAAGCAGAAGAGCATTTAGCGAGCATACGCGTGCTTTCAATAAATTCTCATAGGACCTGTGCATTTATATGGGAACGAGGTACAAACTGGAGCGTGTGAGCAATAAGTGCAGTCGATTAAGGTTCGCCTTTTCATAAAAACGGGTATGTGAATAGAGGGGAGGGAAGGGGGGCGGCAGTAATTGACAGTGGGGTTAGGTAGAGCCGTGCCACAAGGGGGGAGGAGGGAAAGACGAGGACGCGGAGACATGCATGCAGTTAATCGACCCTTGCCCACGGTAGACGCGGCGCGTGCGAGAAGTTCTTTTGCGCTCACGAAGCCGGCTTCTGTAGCCCGATGGCGGTCGCTTCTACTGTTTTTAGTAAGCATTAACCCAGCTGCTTAGGATAGTTAGGTGGGACCTTGTAAATCACACGGAAGGTTTCGTTGGTATTCATAAGTTATACAAGAGTGCCACCGAAACACAGGACGTAGTATGTTTAGTAACGCCAAACCTCGGGGCGGGTGCTGGGAGGGCAAGTGGTGCTAACACCCGATGGCGTGGTGGGACGTATGGCTGCACTGACCAAGCTTCTTCTTCTGTAAATTATCCGCGGATGGGAACATGGTGACTACGCAGGTAGAGCATTTCATGCCGTAATCATTCTGTTGGGGAAGAAGAATCTCTTTGTTCCAAGCCTCGCCCAGATCACACTTGGTTTGAGAGGATGTCCTCTCAAGCTAGTTGTGGTGGCCAGCTGAAGAAGTTGCAAATACAAGGCAACAGTCCTGACCCCGCTGCATGCGAAATGCTAGTATTAGGCCGACTTGTCTAAAGGAAAAAGACCCAGATTGGATGGCTGTGTTTCGTAAGGTAGGTAGCCTTGGCCCCGGACGAGCTTGTTTACACGTCGTTTGCCCCCCCTCCCCCCAAACGGGCCACGTGGCAGATGCGTTGGACCAACACGGGGACCATATTGGATTCTGGCACGCGTTATCGGACTGCGCGCGATAACAACTGCCGACGTTTCGGGGGTGCGTTGGCAGATCCGGTTGTCGCCAGACGTCGCGCATACTGGGACCCCTGCCGCCCCCATTGTTATTGTTGATTAAAAAAACCTGGACATTGATTGTGCGGGCCAGGGGGTGGGGATTTGGGCGCCAAGGTGCGGGCTCGATCCTGCCTCCGGTCGTTTTGACTCTGTCTTGACACCGGGTCCCGGTGGGGGAGGAGAGAGCGCGGTAGATGCTGTGCAAGTCTACCATCACTATAAACTAATTCACGCATAAGTCATCGTCCCTGCTTTAACCCTGCTGTGTAGCATCAATGGACATCATCGGAATCGACGGTCGAACTGTCGTTGGGCTTCTTCAGGGGTGTTACGGTCTTTGGCAGTCCATGATCTCCAGGCCTGCATGGTAAATGGTAATTGTGATCACACAAACATCTCGAAGACCTTACCAAGGCACACTTCATCGAATTTCACGAAAGCCCGCATAATGAGACACAAGTTTGAAATCGCGGATTTAGTTTCTTTTAAGTAGTGGAACGATGTCATCTGCGAGAACGTGATCCCCATCCCAAGATCCTTCTGAGCATATACCTCTGGTAGCGGTGTGCGATTCAGATAGGACACCCTTAGTGTGCAGTGTTGGTTTTGCCGATTCGCAGAATGATGCACTCGACAGCATTAAACGGGGGAGCCAAGAGGTTTGACCGTCGCTCAAGTTGATGCAAGTTTGTCTGTAGATTTGTTTCGTCATCTTCGTTGCGAATGACGTTCCAAAGTTTTATGTCGTCAGCGAAAATGGCAATGTTACTGTCTAACCCTCGGGTGCAGTCATTAATATATATATATATATATGTTGGAAGGTAGGCATCCCAAGAAATTTAAGTCGAAGTCGAATGTGTGCTTTGGGAAAGGAAGTTTATTGTGCAAATTTTCGACGCCGGTTCCCCGAGTCGTCGTCAGGCACAGACGGAAAGCAAATGCGCCAACACAGCTAACATCTTGAGTGCACGTAAAGAAATCTCTAATCGCCTGACGCTCACGCCAGTAAGCGGCCGTCGTGTTTGTCAGTCCGTTCTGATTGGTCCCCGCCTCTTCCATCTCTCCTTGAGATTTCTGTACGCGGCATCCAACTCGATGTGCCTGTTGATGCATGAGTCGTCTGAGTGCATGGCCTCAAGGAACTCTCGGCCTTTCTTTGAGGGGCACACAGCGACAATGCGAGTTTTTTTCCCAAGCGAAAGTGTGTCCGGTGTCCAGGGTGTGCATGGCCACTTGAGATAGATGGTCTCGCCTCTTCACTGCCAACTGGTGTTCGTGGATGCGTGTAGAGGCGCGTTTTCCAGTCTGGCCACAATAGACGGCATCACACGCTTCACAAGGGATCTTGTAAACGACTTCTTTTTTGTCCAAATAGTTAACCTTATCTTTAGGGTGTACGAGCTGAGTGCGCAGAGTAGTCGTCGGTCGGTGCGCCACCTGAATTTGGTGCTTCCTTAAGTGTCTTTCAACGAGTTCGGACACATTTTTAATGTAAGGAAGTGTTCGCCAAGTTTTCGGTTCAGCCGTCTGATTTGGGCTACCTGGCTCCTTTCTCTCCGACTCTTTCTGCCTCATGCATCGGCGCACAAAATCTCTAGGGTACCCATTCCGCGAAAACAATTCACACAAGAATTTTAGTTCGTCTTGATAACCTTCTTCATCAGAGCAGTGTGTTTTTGCTCGATTAAGCAGACTTTTGACAGCACCCCGTTTGTGAGAAATTGGCTGATTGCTCTCGCAAGGTAGAATGATTTCCGCGTAAGTGTCTTTACGGTAAACTGACGTACGTAGTGTTCCGTCAGTCTTTCGTTGTACGAGAATATCCAGGAAAGGCAGTTTACTGTCGACTTCCTTTTCGAGTGTGAACGTAATCCCCGGAATCGTCGAGTTTATATTGTTATGGAGCGCTTCCAATTGGTCCTTTTTAACGATAACAAACGTGTCATCAACATATCGCAGCCACAACTTAGGTTTAATTGACGGAAGAGCCGTAGTCTCCAGTTTCTGCATTGTGACTTCGGCGAGAAAACCAGAAATTGGGGACCCCATAGGAGCGCCTTTCAATTGCTGATAGCACTGTTGGTTGAAGGAGAAGTTGGTTTCCAAGCATAGGTCTATGAGTTCGAGCACGGCAGTTGCGGGAACGTCTATGTCATGGGAAATCAATAATTCTTCTGTGCATTGTTTTGCCACATCTAGAGGTATCGATGTGAATAGGGACACGACATCGAAGGAAACCATTATTTCATCAGAAGAGATTGTGATTCCTTCCAATTTCTTTAGAAACTCATTTGAGTTCTCAATTGAAGTTTCACATTTCCTCGAAAGCGGATGAAGTTTTTGGAATAACCACTTGGAAATTTTGTAGTTCGGTGCCCCGATTAATGATACTATCGGTCGTAGTGGGACATCCGTCTTGTGAACTTTAGGCAATCCATACATCTTCGCGATTGTCGGTTCATTTTGTCTCAGGAATTTCGCTATATCTCCTGACAGTTGCTTCTTCCCTGTAAGACGCTTTAGAACTTTATCAATGGATGAAAGCTGTGCTTTGGTAGGATCCGCTGAAAGTGGTTTATAAGTAGACCCATCTTCTAACAATGACATCATCTTATTATTGTAGTCCGTTCTGTTCAAAATTGCGACTGAGCCCCCCTTGTCTGCAGGGAGAATGATAATATTTTTGTCAGTTCGTAGACTCTTTAAAGCACTCTTTTCTTCGTGTGATAGTACTGAAAAATGACTCCGATCTTTTAAGGCTTGTGCGGTGCTGTTTCGGATGGTAAACCGTTCGTTTTCCGTAAGGTTTGCTGCCGAAATGATGGATTCTAAGCTCGCAAGGAAATCCAAGTAGTTTGAGTCAGAAAGATTGTACTTCAGTCCCTTGGAAAGCACACTCTCTTCTGTCGTTGTTAGCGTTCTCGAGGAAAGGTTTGCGACCTTCTATGGACGCTTCTGGTCTGCATCGGTCTGCTGTGAGATAGCTATCCACTTTCTGTCTAAAATGCTCCTCTTCTTTTGTCGTT